TCCCTTAGCCATTTTTTAGATTGTTTTTCTTTTTTCTGTTTACTTTTATGGGACTTAAAATCATAAATACACACACCCTAATTTCTAACGGATTCAAACAGCTCATTATTGTAAAAATTATTCATTTATGGATAACACTTGAATCGTTTTCTTTTTAACTATCCTAACTCCTTACTTTCAGTAGACCTTGGCCTTGTCTGAGTTGACTAAACAAAACAGGTTAAAAAAAAAAAAAAAAAAAAAAAAAAAAAATACGGCTCTCCAATCTTTTAGTACGCGCTATGTATAAATTAGTGGAGTGGGCTATTGAGGCTTTGTTAAGAATTCAAATCTGAAGCTCTCAAACCTTCACACTCATACCAACAGTTGTATGAGAGAAAGTGTCTGGCATGGGGGTTAAATCTGCAAGTATAGGTCTTCGTAGTCTAATAATGGACACTCGCCCTGACAGCGAGAGGTTGCAGGTTGCACATTTTTTCATACAACTGATTATAAGAACTTTTCCATGAAGGGCTATGTTGCATACGATCATAACATCTTGTTCCTATTTGAGCACTGTTATTATTTTATCAATTTGTCTAGATGTGTATAAGAGACCATCACTACACCCACTACGGATGGCAATTTAAGTACAACGGCGTCAGTAAATTTCACTAAAAGTATATCAAATGCTCAAAGAAATGTATCCGATCCAAAGACCTTCATACCGACTACGAAAATTGCCAAGTCACTGCAGCAGAAATTGGTAAGAATTTACTTTATGCCATTATATTTTTCCCTTCTTCTCTGGGCCGATACGGCTTATTTAAGCTATGAGCCTTACAACGGTGCGTCGCCAGTTTGCCCTTTTATAATCATCATGTGTGAGTGAGTTTAAATCAGTATTTGTTTTAGCCATGTGTGTTTTGATCGTCCTCTGTTTCCTTTTGCTTTTCTTAGGTTTTCATTTAGTGCGATTTTTGCTGGTACATTTCCTGGTAGTCTGAGTAGGTGACCCAGCCAGTCGAGTTCCCCTCCCCCCTCCCCCCACTCGCCGTTTTTTTTTATTGTTTTGCCTAATTCATTCTCTTTTGCCATTATATTACATTGATTTTATTTTATAAAGGCTTTAGTATCTTTCAGTGATTGATGATTCAGTAAAAAATATACATGTACAAAAAATGAAATGCAAAAGTATAAATCTTTTTCTGATCAAAGTACATAAAAACACATAGTCTAGGCCCCCGGTATTCAACCGCAGGTGCGCGGGCCAAATCCGGTAGCTCAATGCATCTAGTGGTGAAGGGTGTCGGCATGGGGAGAGGTAGACTAATGGGGACAATGGACTAAGTGGGGCGCTGATATCTAACCATTTTGAGGACATGTTATTCTGTTGAAAACACTGCTTTGAAAACTTATTTTTGAGTCTGTAGAGGTGTCTATGTTAAATTTTGCTCACCTCAACCCCAATCACTGGTGTGTGGATATTTTTGCAGACCTGTCAAGTCTCAAGCGAGGGTTATATATTCTCACGCATTCAAGAATTTCTGCAAATTATATTTTTTTTAATGTGCTATTTTCTCAAAACAAGCATACAATATGTACAAACACGACTATCGTCGCTAGCGATTTTCACCGTGTTGGACGCCGCCTAAGCTGAAACTAAAGAAAACTAAATGGGATACCAAAGGGGCACTTTGTATCAATGTATTCACTGTAAAGGTGTAGGCTATGTTTTATCGACGATTCACTGTATTTTCGTTAAGGTTTGTGAGCTCACGCATAATGTTCAAAAAATGCCCAATCTCAAGCAAATCCAATTGACAGGTCTGTTTTTGTGGTAGGCAAGTTTCTAGTGCAGGGTACAGGAGAACCTGGAGTGAAGTTTGTTTTTTTTTCTTCTTCAAAATTCTAAAATAATAAGGGGAAGAAAAGAAAATTATATTCAAATTGAAGTCTGAGACTGAGTGCTATTTCTGACCATTTAGAGGAATCATATCATAAAACTTCTTTTGATTATGGTTTCAATATGAAGATGTTAAAGTAAAACTACGAAATGTTTCAAATGGACCTATAACATTTAAGAAATAACGTTATGTAATAAAATAATTTTGTTCATTAAAGTATATCGAATAATAATCGTTTTACAAACTTAATATTAGTAACGTTAGGTATCGTTTCAGATGTAAAGGTATGTTTTTCCAATAAATCATACAGTACTTGTATATATAAATGAACTGAGGTCATGAGACTTATTTAGCCGAAGCATTTCACGTCGCTTAGCCCTTCGTCTTTCAAATGACATTGATTTAGTCTATGATGTACATGGTCAGAATACTCGCAGCTACTACTTTAAATATTGTTCCTCGATAACAAAAAATTGGCAAAATGAAACATCATTTATCTGGAGATCAGCTTAGTTCAGTCGGCCGGCTAAACTGGTGCATTGCTATGACTGGTGGTAGCATTTGTGTGTGCGCTGGACCGTGGAGATCTCTTGGTCCTCGTTTCAATTTCATCGATGTTCTCTCTAGAGGGCTGAAATGCAGGTTACGATAGCGCACCGTCTTACGGATGAGACGTTTAAGCCGTTTAAGTGGCGTCGAGAGGGGGGTGGGGTCAGTGGGGGTCGCTGCCCCGAGGCCCGGGTCTACTGGGGGGCCCGGACCAAAATGAAAAATTTTCGGGGAAAGAACAAAATCTCCATAGGGCCCGAGCCCAAGCCAGGATGAAAACTTTTGTTGTCAGAACAAACTCTACATTATGGTTTTATGGGCATCTTTGCAAAAAAATAATCACATGGATTCATATTCATGTAAGTGGGTTTGGACAAATAGGGTCTTATGAGGAGACTAAATTTGGGGAGCGGCCGAGTGGAGGTCCCAAGTGAAGGGGGGGGGGCATGTGAGGTGTTGCCCCGGGGCCCTTAATTGCTCTCGACGCCACTGCCCGGGTGTACTGCCAAATCACCAACTGAAGGACCCACACTCTCTCTCTTTCCACTTTTCTTTTTCCTTCTCGCTGCCATGTTAATGCAGTCATGCAATAATGTTGATTTTTCTTTCCCAGTACATGCCCTATTCAATTCCATTTTCTTCGTTTCACTTCTTGACTGATCTTGGAAATAATAATAGTAATGTTATTTATCTCAGTTATTTCTTCCATATAGATGATATTTGGTCATTGGTATTGAAATGAATCTAACCTCTTCCCAGCACTTCTGTTCATCTTCCACGTTTCGCATCCGTATAGTAGGACAGGTCGTACCAGTGTGTTATACAATTTGAATTTTGTTTTTCTATTAGAGCATGGGTGGTGCCAGAAGAGGGGG